CAGGCGGATCTCTGTGAGTTCGAGGCCAGCCTGGGCTACCAAGTGAGTTCCAGGAAAGGCGCAAAGCTACACAGAGAAACCCTGTCTCGAAAAAACGGGGGAAAAAAAAAAAAAAACACATGGAAATGTAGACATCCTGATCTTAGTCCTTCCAAGGTTATTCATTGTTAGGTTGCACACAGGTAACCAATTTTCGTGTGTTGATTTTGTGTTCTACTTTGCTGATATCGTCTATCATTATTACTGATTTCAGAGAAAAGTGTTAGAATCACAATTGAATATGCTATTAGCTGTGAGTTTCTCATGTTACCTTTATTACATCATGATCATGTCCTTCTATTCCCAGTATACTGAGTGGCTTTTTTGTTTGTTTTTTCAAGACAGGGTTTCTTTGTGAATCCTTGACTATCCTGGCACTCACTCTGTAGACCAGGCTGGCCTTGATTTCACAGAGATCCATCTTCCTCTGCCTCCTGAGTGCTGGGATTAAAGGCATGTACGACCATGCCTGGTTGGAGTGGCTTCTTAAATCATTTTTTTTCTTAATTGAGTTTTCTCAAAGCTTTTTCTCTATCAATGCAGATTACAACGTATATACCTTCTGTTAATGTGGTGTTTTGTCCTTTTTTTTTTTTTTTTTTTAAGACAAGATCTCTCCAAGTAGCCTTAGCTGCCCTGGAGCACTGTTTGTAGTCCAAGTTGGCCTTAAACTCATAGAGATCTACCTGCCTCTGCCTCCAAGTGCTGACTAAAGGTATGTGTCACAATGCCCGGCTTATACTCATTTTCATATGCTGAACCATTATTGCATTCCAAGAATTAGTGTCACTTATTCTTTTTTAAAGATCTTTTTTAGGAGGGCTGGAGGGCTGGCTCAGCAGTTAAGAGCACTGGCTGTTCTTCCAGATGACCTGGGTTCAGTTCTCAGCACCTACATGGCAACTCACAACTGTCTGTAACCCCTGTTCCAGGGGATCAGACTCCCTCACACAGACATACATTCGGACAAAACACCAGTGTGCATAAAATTAAAAACAAAATTTAATATTTTTTAGGTTCACTTTATGTCTTAGGGTTTGCTTTGCTGTGAAGAGACACCATGACCATGGCAATTCTTTTTTTAAAAAAACTTTTTATTGATTCTTTGTGAATTTCACATAATGCACCCCAATCTCACTCATCTCCCCATCCCTTCATATCTATACTCTGCCTTTGCAACCTCCTCCCAAAAAGAAAACAATTTAAAAAAAACAAAACAAAACAAAAAAACAAACAAAAAAAAAAAAACCTCTCTATGGAAGCTTGGTGTGTCATGATGTCACCCAATATACTTTTTGCCCAAACAGCCTTGCTTGCAAATGTTCATGGCAAAGAGTCATTGGTGCGGTTTGAGGACACTGGCTTCTGCTACACCATCGATACTGGACCCTCACCGGGACTTCTCAGACATCCTGTTGTTGCCCTGTGTCATGGAGTTCCTGTGGCTATGGATCTGCAGGACTTGCCCTTTCTTGTGCTCCAGCAGGTCGCACATGGATTAAATGTTGGGCTGGGCCAACTCAAAGCCCTGGATCTGGGCCTGGGTGGTAGTTGAATTGGTCAGCCCATCCTCTCTCCGGTGCTGGTGCCGCCAGGGCCAGCTCTCCAGCTTTGCCCAGCTTCTGCCTGCAGGAGCTGGCAAGGGGCAGCACAGGCTCTCCTGCCTTCAGCCAGGTTGCCCATACCCACAGGACCAGGGCCAGCTCTCCCAAGTGCATGGCAACTCTGTGCAGGCAGATGCTGTGCTGGAACAGGAGCTGGGAGTTCTACCTCTTGATCCACGGGCAGCAGGAGGAGGGGCTAACTCACTGGGCGTGGCTTGAGCTTATATGACCTCAAAGCCAGGGCCCCAACCCCACAGTAACACTCTTACTCCAACAAGGCCACACCTCCTAACAGTGCCAGTTACTGTGAGTCTATGGGGGCCATTCCTATTTAAACCACCACACTTCATTTTATGTGCAGGATGTTTTTTCCTGCATATGTGTATATATATATACCACATACATATCTGGTGCTCATAGAGGTCAGATAAAGACATTGGATCCTTTGGAACTGGAGTTTGTGAGCCACCATGTGGGTACTGGGAACAAAGCCCAGGTCCTTTGCAAGAACAAGTGCTTTTAATGATGAAGCCATCTTTCCAGTCCTTTAAGGATGCAGTTGAATTTTTTTTTTTGTAGTACTTTGCCAAACATTTTTGTATCAGTACTCATCAGGAATATTGGTTCATAGTTTTCCTTTATGATGCTATTTTTGTCTAATATCCAAGTATTGTTGGCTTCAAAGAAGGAATGGAGAAGTGGTCTTTGTTGTGGGATGTTCTGTATGTCAAATGTGTTGCTCTGATTGGCCAGTAGCCAGGCAGGAGGAAGTATAAGCAGGACAAGGAGGAGAAGAATGCTGGGAAGTGGAAGGCTGGGGCAGAGAGACACTGCCAGCTGCTGCCATGACAAGGGAGATGTAAGGTACTGGAAGGCCACGAGCCATGTGACAACTTATAGACTAATAGACATGGGTTAATTTAAGATAGAAAAAGTAGATAACAAGAAGTCTGCCCTGGCCACCATACAGTTTGTAAATAATATAAGCATCTATGTGTTTATTTTATAAGTGGGTTGTCAGACTTTAGGGGCTTGGCAGGACCCAGAGAGAAAACCCTACAGCTACAGGTCCTTTCATTTTAACCTTTTCCAAGAGTTTGTGGAATATCAATGTTGATTTATTATTCCACAAATATTTGGTAGAATTCGTTAGTCAAGACATTTGATAGATCTAAGACTTTCTGTTTTTTGTCTTTTTTAATCCACATTTTTAACTATTAATTTACTGTCTTTACTAATAATAGATTTGTAAATATTTCTTCTTTCTCTGTGATTCATTGTTGGTAGGTTTCTAACCTATTTTTATGAGTTATCCATTTTGTTGATGAGAGGTTTTCATAACATCCTTTTTATGGAAAAGCTTTTTAGTAAACAGAAAAGAAGAACTGAAACATAATTTTAAATTTTGCAAATTAGGTTCTAAAAGTAAAGGAAAATGTTTGTGGTTGACAACTATATATTCATGCAGCTAAAGTCATTCATCAGTTGGTGCTCTGGGTGCTGTCTTGCAGGTGTCTGCTGGAAAATGGCTGAATACTTCTTGCCTTCCATCTTTAGTACCGAGAAACTACAAAGTCAACTCTTCACTTTATTTCAAAACTGGAGCATGTCGTCATGGAGACAGATGTTCTCGGTTGTACAATAAACTGACCTTTAGCCAGACCATTGCCCCCTTGAACATTTACCGTAACCCTCAAAACTCTGCCCAGTCTGCTGATGGTTTGCGCTGTGCTGTGAGTGACTTGGAGATGCAGGAGCACTATGATGAGTTCTTTGAGGAAGTCTTCACTGAGATGCAAGAAAAGTACGGACAGGTTGAAGAGCTGAACGTCTGTGACAACCTAGGAGACCACCTGGTGGGGAATGTGTATGTCAAGTTTCGTCATGAGGAGGATGCAGAGAAAGCTGTGATGGACTTGAATAACCGCTGGTTTGATGGGCAGCCGATCCATTCAGAGCTGTCCCCAGTGAATGACTTCAGGGAAGCCTGCTGCCACCAGTATGAGATGGGCAAGTGCCCAAGAGGGGCCTTCTGCAACTTCATGCAGCTGAAGCCAATCTCAAGAGAGCTCAAAAGGAAGCTGTCTCGGCACCAGTGCAAGAAGCATAGATCCAGGTCCCGATCCTGGGAAAGGCATTCTCCATCCAGAGACATTAGGCATGGTGGCAGCAGAGGTGGAGGGCGAGAGCATGACAGGAGGCAGTCCAGATACCTCAAGACATACAGGAGATTCTGAGTCCAGCTGTTTATACCTTGTGTCTGCTAGACAGTGTTGTAGTTGATGGACAAGCCAGTTCATATTGGAAATTTTTTTTAAAACAACCAAAAAAAGATGAGTTTCTGAATAAAATTTGTAGTGATACAATTAGAAAAGACATCTTATCAAATACAGGGTTCAGGTTCTTCCTCTGAACTTCAGTCTGGTGTTTTTTGTTCTGGTGGAAGCTCTACCTCAGCCCCTGGCATCCATATACCCAAAGAGTCTGGGATGATTAGGTGGAACCCTCATCTCTCTCCCCAGACCCTGCTCCTTCAAAAAGCCCACCAAGCAGCAGCCTATCCCCTCAGAAAGCCTGCCAAGGGTCAGCTTCTCCCCCAAGAGCTGCTCAAGACCTGGCAGCCATATTTGCCACGTGATTCCTATCCTGCCTTCCCAAGCATCACCTAGGAGTTTCTTGCTCTGTTTATTAAACCTGGATTTATTTAAAAAAAAATAATAAATAAACAAATAAAGTCACTCATCAAATCTTATGCTAACGCATGATTGTTCTAAGATTAAAGTAACCCAACATGGCCAGGCCCAACACAACCATAAGGTACATTAGTGATCTCTTTTCCTCATATAATTTTTTAATAATTTTTAAAAAATTTTTATTTGACATACATTGATTGGTGTTTTGCCTGCATGTATGTCTGTGTGAGGATGTTAGATCCCTTGGAATGTGAGTTACAGAGAGTTCTGTGCTACCATGTGAGTGCTGGGAATTGAACCCAGGTCCTCTAGAAAAGCAGCCAGCGCCCTTACCCACTGAGCCATCTCTCTAGCCCCCTAGTATAATTTTAATATTAGTTCTTGTATTACTTTTGATTTATTTACTGTCTTAGTTAGGGTTTTATTGCTGTGAAGAGACACCATGACCACGGAAACTCTTATAAGCAAAAACATTTCATTGGGGCTGGCTTACACTTTCCGAGGTTTAGTTCACATCATCATGGTGTGAAACATGGCAGTGTACAGGCAGACATGGTGCTGGAGAAAGAGCTGAGAGTTCTTCATCTTGACCCACAGGCAGCAGAAGGAGACTGTGTGCCACACTGGGCATAGCTTGAGCATATGAGACCTCAAAGCCCACCCCAACAGTGGCACACATCCTCCAACAAGGCCACATCTACTCCAACAAGGCCACACTTCCTAATTGTGCCAGTTCCTATGGGCCCAGCATTCCAACACATGAGTATGTGGGGTCCATACCTATTCAAACCACCACTCTTACTAAATGAAGTGCATGAATTAAATTTCTAAAAATTAGGCTGGAGAGATGGCTCAGCGGTTAAGAGCACTGACTGCTCTTGCAGAGGACCTGAGTTCAATTCCCAGCAACCACATGGTGGCTCACAACTGTCTGTAACAAGATCTGGTGCCCTCTTCTGGCCTGTAGTCGTACATGCTGTATACATAATAAATAAATAAATCTTTAAAAAAAAAATTCTAAAAATTAGCCCAGCATGATGGTGCACGCCTTTAATCCCAGCATTCGGGAGGAAGAGGCAAGAGCATCTCTGTGAGTTGGAGGCCACCCTAGTCTACAAAGTGAGTTCCAGGACAGCCAGGGATGTTACACAGAGAAACTCTGTCTAGAAAAAAACTAAAAAAATAAAGGAAGGAAGAAAGAAAGGAAATTCCAAAAAATTGATAAGCTAGGAGGCTCAGTGGATAAAAGCATTTGACACCAAGCTTGATGATCTGAATTCAATCCTAGGAACACACGTGATAGAAAGAGAGAACCAATTCCTACAAGTTGTCCTCTGACCTCCACAAACATGCTGTAGCATGTGTGTCCCCCTTCACATACAACATGAATACATAAATGTAATAAAAGTTGTTAAAGAGTACAAAAACTGCCGGGCGGTGGTGGCGCACGCCTTTAATCCCAGCACTCGGGAAGCAGAGGAAAGAGGATCTCTGTGAGTTCGAGGCCAGCCTGTTCTACATAGTGAGTTCTAAGATAGACAGAGTTACATGGTGAGACCCTGTCTCAAAACAACAACAACAAAAAGTATGTTGTTCTATCTCCATGGATTTGAACAGTTTCTCTTGATAGCAATTTCTTTTTTTTTTTTTTTTTTTAATGCCGAATGCTGTTTTTTGAAGGAGGGAAGCGGTCTTAAATACAGGCTTACAGCACAATGGGAGAACCCTAGAGGGCAGAAGTTCGATACCGATGTTTTACAATCTTGCACTTGATATCAATTTCTAGTTTATTACATTATTAACTGGTAAGAAACAAAAAATTATTCCTTTTTTTTTTTTTAAATTTGTTTTGCTTTTTTTTCTCTCTCTCTCTTTTCAAAACAGGATTTCTTTAGTAGCCTAGGCTATCCTGGAACTTACACTGTAGACCAGGCTGGCCTCAAACTCACAGAAATCCTCCTGCCTCTTCCTCCCGAGTCCTGGGATTAAAGGTGTGCGCCGCTCTCATTTTCTTATTTGTTAATATTTGTTGTTATTGTTTTTTTTTAAGTTTTATTTATTTATTGTGTATACAGTGTTTTGTCTGCATGTATGTCTGCACACCAGAAGAGGGCACCAGATTTCATTATAGATGGTTATGAGCCACCATGTGGTTGCTGGGAATTGAACCCAGGACCTCTGGAAGAACAGCCAGTGCTCTTAACCTCTGAGGCATCTCTCCAGCCCTGGAAAAAAAGCGCTCTTAACAACTACTGAGCCATCACTGTGGTCTATTGTCTGCCTCTTTATGTTGACTGGTTTTGTTTTATGAAATTGAATATACAGATATTTGATGTATATATATATATATTTACAATTATATTTTCTTGGTGAATTGTTTCCTTTATTAATATGTGGTAACTTTGTCACTTTTTGAGTAATTTCAGCTTTAGTAAAATGTCATGGTGTAGCCGGGCAGTGGTGGCGCACGCTTTTAATCCCAGCATTTGGGAGGCAGAGATCTGTGTGTTCGAGGCCAGCCTGGTCTACAGAATGAGTTCCAGGACAGGCTCCAAAGCTACACAGAGAAACCCTGTCTGGAAAAACCAAAAAAAAAAAAAAAAAAAAAAAAAAACAAGATCCAGATGTTCCTACAGACATCCTGTGGGTGGTTTATGGTCCTTGCAGATATCCAGATATCCTGTCAGCAGGTTGTGGTTTCACACCAAAAGTTTAACCAATAGTTTCAAAAACTCACCTTGCCCCCTATCCCTTTACTCAATCCCAAAACGCCAAGGCATGTAACACCCAGCTCTCTGTTTTTTCCTTTAAAAACTCTCCTACCCGCCAGGCGGTGGTGGCGCACACCTTTAATCCCAGCACTAGGGAGGCAGAGGCAGGCGGATCTCTGTGAGTTCGAGGCCAGCCTGGGCTACCAAGTGAGTTCCAGGAAAGGCGCAAAGC